GTTCATGGACTTTGGGCGGAGTGAGGGGCTCAGTCCAAAGTGCAGCGATTGGCTTACTCACTTAACACATTGCGGACCGCCCTTATACGAGCATCTCCATACCTTTTTCATGTTTTTAAAAAATGAATCATCATTAATCTATCAACAATTTTATCAGTGATGATACTTATGCTTTCCTGGTTCTGAAAATGAGTGCAAGCACTTAAGGAGCATTGAAAAATGCCAAATAAATCAGATAGGACTATGATCTTTCGCTCCAAATCGTGCGCCACATGGTGGCGCACGTGGTACGCAATGTGTTAAATAAGAGGCCGAAAACCTGAGTAGCCTTCCGATAAATTGTATCGTGAGGCTCTAAAATGTCACGAGTATAAGGCAAAATGCTTGAAATGAAAGCATGACAAAATCGCTATCCCACCTAGTTAGAAGGGAGGGAAGGGGTGGGGTCGGAGTCATAAAAATTTCAAAATCACTCGGACGCCACGATCGACCTTGGGAAAGAAGCCCGTCTCCAACTCAGAATGAGAGAATTTCAGCGTGGAGCTTTGTCTTTCCTTAATCTTTCCATTAAAACTACTTTAAAAGGCCAAAATCAATAATCGATCGATGTGTTTCGATGCTTTATAGTGGGTAAACGCGCATATTATTTGCGATGTCGTCGCTGAGTCAGCCGTCTTTTGTGCGCGTGACTCATCTGGACAAGATGTACGACGAGCTGCACGGCCAGCCAGCACTGCAATACCAAACTCAAACCATATATTGATCGCCTCGGAAAGGAAATGGATTTCATATCGATTGATTAATTGAACACAAGGGGTAGGACTGCAGTGGGATTACTGTATAAGGTTCCCCCTTTGGATTGTGAAATTTTTGAAGTTAGTTTTCTACACCGGGAGAGGCGATACAAAATGTCTACGAACCATTCCTTCGAGTTCTTGAATCCGATCGATTTTCTTCTGTCGACATTTCGTGGCTGCAGCTCGATTCCGGGCACGTTTTCGGTCGAGTTTTCGTTTTTCCTGTTCGTCCATCACCAGCGCCTTGAGACAGAGTGGGAACAATTAGGAGGGTATCACCAGCGCTAAAAATTCATTAAATAATTTATCCATTGAATCGCTCAGTTCAGTGCTTACCTGGCAATTAGGTCATTATGCTGCTGCTATCGTGCTTTAAATGGACTATCGATAAGTGACGTCATTTGACGTCTTAGGCTAAAAACTGGTTCTGGGCCAAGGATATGGATGGCTAGAAATTGTTAGTAAGCAAAAACGATGAGGAGCCGGCATTTTTCACGTGGAAAACGAAAATCGTCGAGTTCGATGTCGAAATTTCACGAGGATACTGTAGGAATCAATCAATAGCACAGAAAATCACTAACTAACCATTCACTGTGAGGAGCATGATGCTGAATATTGTAGAGTGGTGGATTTCGTAGTCGCGCGTTCATCGAAGAGGCCGAAGGGTTTGGTGGCTGCGGCGGCGCTGATGATGGTGGTGGCGACCAGCGTCGTCGCCGCCACTCGCGCGCATGACTCACCCTCACCCCAACCCCACCCCGCGTCGCCGTAGCGCCACTAACGGGCTAATGGAAAACCCCATTACAGCATTTTTCCATGTAAAACTGCTCAGGGAGATATCCATGGGAAAAAGAAGATCAAAAGCCGAAAAAAGGGTCGGCGGAAAAACGACCACGAAAAACAGCAACAGCAACAAAGGAATGACGGTGACCTTCGCAGAACTGGTCCCTGCGAATTGCAGCGTTTTCTAGTAAAAACTCGACTGTTTTGCAACTCCTCTCGGAATTCAATCAATTTCTGGATAAATCCTGTTTGGAGTCGGTAACCCAACCTTGAAGTACCTATTCAGGTCGAAATTTGCGAAAAATAGCCCTGAACTCACTCTGCAGTCCGTGCAGTCCTCGGATCCGGTGGAGGTGTGTGAAAACACGAAGAATTATAGGAATACGAAGGAAATGTTGCAAAATCCATCATAGACGAAGATCAACGAGATGATGGACGAGACGTGACGTGAATTATATGGAGGTAATATGAGTGATAAGGATTCGAATGGTGCTGGTGTTATCGCAATGACTCAGCCCAGCCAGCCAGCAGCCAACCAGCCGATGTCCTCCCCGTTGTCGTTTCAGGCCGAGCCAGGCGCCCGCCGCGTGCGCTAAACGAACACCTCCGACAAATCGTCTCCGCCAAAACCGTGCAGAATAGCCATTCCCATGTCATCGAAAAGCTATCTCTACCCTCCTGCGCTTTTTTGAGCCTTCTGAACCCTTGCGCACAAATTACTCCGCTGAAGTGGGCGTGTCTTTCACAATGGAGGCTATTACTTATATCAAAGAACATGCGCTGCTATAAATATGGGAATGCAAAAATGTTCTTCAAAATTCATTTTCAAGAACAAATAATCTGAAGGAACTCTAAAATTGACTATTGGAAGTTTTCAATGTGATGACGAAACCACCGTATTTGGATGACGTCATCCTTCTCAAGAGCTATTTGCCGAATGAAATGGGTGACGTTCATAGTACAATTACCAATCAAGCCCAGAGCTTGCAGAAGTGCAGGCGAGACGGAATACGGAATTCGGAATGTCGGAATTATTTCAAACCAATTATCAGCTGAGTCCCAGAAAAAGGAAGAGTTGGTGAGAGAATAAAGGAGCCTCAGAAAAGAGAAATACTTGGAGAAAGAATGGAGTCTGAAAAAAAGAGAAATATTGGGTTGGAGGGATAATATCGTAGCTTTTTTTTTTCGAGCGCACAAATTAATTCAGTACAAGTATTAACCGAAAAGCGGCCCATATTATTTGAAAGTACTTTTCCCGCTCTACAAAATCTTAGTTGTCATGTTCTTCAAAATTGGAGCTGAACTCAGGTATAGAGCTTGGAAGTTGGAAAATTCGGACGGCGAAAATCTGTGTTTCGACAGCTGCTATTCTAAGATCTAAATAAAGAAGAAAAAATGCCAAATTGGAAGTTCCGAAAAAATTCATTGCTCTAATCGAACCTCGCTTTAACCGAATCTGCCTTTTTTCGCTCAAATCAAAACCATTTCAATCTCGCACAAATTGAGAATAGTAAGGACTCCGAAAACTAGCTCTATATATTTTTCAAATTCTATATCCGGTGATCTCTTGCGAAATGCAATCGGAGTTGTAAATAATGACTAAGTGAAGGTCGCTGAGTAATTTTATGTTTTTATTTTTTGCTTTAAACGTTTGTGTGCAGAAATGAAAAATGCAAGCGCTACGATATTATGCTCCAACCCAATACTTGAAGTAAGAATAAAAGATTTCTGCTGAATTTTCGCTGAAATTTGTACGTCGACGAAAGCGCAAAATATTCGTAAAATTCATTACAAAAAACAGCGGAAGTGGAGCAACGGGTGAAAGTGCCGCCTGATCTCGCAGGACTAGTGGGATCAAACCCAGCTGCGGCAACGAGAAGTTTTCCGCACTCCATGATCGACTAACTTGCACCACACCGACACGGCCAGACATCAAAATAAGACCAGCATCGAGATTCTCAAATTCATTACGTAAGGGCAATACACTCGAGCGTAAAATGTATGGGCGGTTCAGAAGAGTTTTCTTTTTTTTTTTGCTTATATTAGATTAGCCAGCGCAAAAACTAACAGAACTATGGCGTTTACCCTGGGGAGTACCTCAACATCCGCGTGTAGGGCAATATAAATTTCAACAAGGGTTTATGATTTCGCAAAATAAACTGCGTAGGCTTGTGAACATGCTCTGGCTGGTTTTTCTCTTCAATAAAATCCGCCTTAGCTTATGACAGAGTCGAAGATTAAGGATGTGGTAATCGCCTATTCCTTCTTCATCGATGCGCCCCCGCATATGCGACCCTCCAGAACTATTTCCAATTCAGGAAAATGAGTTAGCACCATTCATTACTTGGCCGTCCACGCTAGTTATGGACGGTTCTCGCTTCTAGGTGGAGACTTGACAAGCAATAAGGGAGGGAATCGTTTTTTGTTTTAGCTTCGTCGAGGATCAGCAAGGCGAAACGTAAAACTAAGGTACCTCCACATTTTGGTTGTTAAAGCCCCGTACCCTTTTCATTAACTTAAAACAAGTTGCGGGCGTTAAAGTTGGGTTCACTTCTTCTAAAATCTGAAGGTACAAGAAACATTATTGGGCTGTCTCTTGATTCCTGTCGTTTTTTTTTGCACAAGGGCGAGGAAAACAAAAAGGGGGGGGGGGGGGGGGAGGTGGCTACTGATGTATGTACATACATATTATCAATCGTGACGGAAAAAGAACGTCTTGGCCCGAACCCGTCGGTAATCGACACTTGCAATAAAGTAATGTCAGACCAAGTAAGCCTACATTCCTTTCCAGAGTCGGTTTCGACAGCTCCTTTGTTGAAAGCTAACCAATAAGTTAGTCGTAGCACTGCACATCTTGAAACTCCCCCTGTTCATTTGGCATACCTACGAACTAATACCCCACCGCACAGAGCTTCATGAAATGAAATTCGGGTCGCTTTTTAGGGTTGGGGGGGAAGGTGGGGTTGGAATTTGAAAATTTGGGAAGAATTTCCGTTGCGTTCAAGGCTCAAGGGCGAAGTGGGTGCTGCTCAATCCGACTGCAATGGGCTATTTACTCCATATATAGACACAGAATGTCGTCTTGAATCTGTAGAACTGAATACGGGGGTAAGTATCAAATTACTTGACATTTCTAGTTATGAATGACTAACAATGAAAATAAGGAACAATTCATCAATCTAGGCGCCCACCCTGCCTGCGGCATATGGAGCTTCAACCTCACGAGCTAGGACGGCCCACCTTGGTGATATAACAAATAACGTTTGGATGGCTACCACCATTCAAAGACGTATTTTGGTGCAGATGCAGAGGCGGTGTAGCAGAGTGACCACCTTACCATGTGCACGGTCCCCAAGCTTATTCCAGACTCCAACTTCGCCCAGGTCCACTATGCTTCCGTCCATGCGGGATAGCGACGCATGGATGATGAAAGTCTCCACGCGAGCTTGCCAGTTATTTTCTAACCCAACAGCATTCAAACGTCACTACAGCTCTGCATGAACGTGGACTGCGTGGCGCATCCCGAAAAAAGGATCAATCCCGAAAGCTTACCCTTCTATGTTGAATTCCTTACAGTGAGCAGGGAGAACAACTTGAGATGGGCTCATCAGATGTGGTACACATGTAATTCGCAAAGATTCAGTTTCATGAAAAATTTCATTTTGAAATGGACTGACATTAAAAAACGAGTATTTCTCTTTGCTTGGCCTGTCATGCTCAGTGTTTGACCCACAGTCCAATAGGTATAAGGCTAGTAAATTTAGTCGGATTCGGCAAGGATGAAGGACAGAGCGCAGTTTCTAGTTTCAGTTTGAAGTACTTTAGGTACTTCGGAATGCGCATTACACCTGAATTCAACCCAAGATTATAGTCATTTGAATGCGTAATGACCGACTTGCCGAAAAACGCTGTACTCAGGTGCTATCGGCACAGGCAGTTCAGCACACCCACATAGATCTATTGCAGTTATCTGACGATGCCTGGATGAAGGCAAGAATCAAAACGATCAAATAGGCCCTCTACTAAAGCTGTGATAGTTAGATTGGAATAAAGCTTCGAAACCAAAACACTGAAGGGGGGGGGGGAACGAGAGAAGCAAAAAAAAATGATCTAACTCTCGTTCGTACAAGTAGGATTCGTTCTTTAGCACCGTGCCAAAACCATCTCCTCAATTTTAAAGAAAACCAGAGACCAGTTCAGCCTTTCTGTGTACAGCAGTAAATTTCGAACCTCCTGCTCAATTTTTTTCTTCCCCTTTCTTTATTACTATCATGCTCTGTTTGATTTAATGAACTTTTAGATTCAACTGGCTACGAATCGAAGTCGAACTGGGGGAGATGTTAGC